TGCCCGTTAGAACCTGATAGTACGTGTCCACGTCATGCGTCTCACTAACTGTGGCAGTCGCTCGCTCATGTATATACTGCAAAGCCCGTGTCTGAAATGTGAAAAATGAAATATAATTGTTTTGAAATAAATTAAAAATGTTAAATAAAGAACATGAATTAATTTAATAATTATGAGCACACTCACCGTCAAGTGCAAAGGCATGGAACTAGCTCAAAGATGGAGATCCAAACACTCGTGTTGCAGATCCAAACCCTATAGGATGATAATGGTGAGTAGGGAGTCTCAAAGATGGAGATCCAAACACTCGTGTGATGTTGTAATACCATCTCATATAGTCTGCAGAAACAAATGAGACAAATGTCGGCGTCCCAGTCACAACAAGTTCCGCTCGCCTATCCCATATAGCCACGTATCGGACATGTCTGAGTGATCAATCCTCTGTAGGCTTCCCACGCCTATCTAGCTTATGAAGATCTACAAATGTGTCGACGGGTGCTGGAATGACCTGCTTATAGCCAAACTGCCGCATAACATGATCAGGCAAATGAAGCTCAACAATGTCAAAGCATATCAACGGCACATGTGCTCTCCATATAACATAATGCTCTCGTCCTGCCGGGGGTAACTCCTCTAACATCTGAGCTGTATATGTCATCCATGTAATCTGTTTCATAATGATAAAAATTAGTCTTAATCTTATTCATATCATAGTTAATGTTATATTATGATATGAAAAACATAGTTAATGATACGAAACCATAACAATGTAAGTTGTATACACCGTACCTGATCTTCAGACATGCGATCAAACGCATCATGTAGAAACCGAGACCAGAAGCCGATGATGTGCGACACAGGTCAGCAAATACTCATCTAACCATTGTATTAATACAATTATAATTGGGAAATTATGACCCACCTCCCTTGAGGTTTCACGTATTATCACCTGAATCCCTGTACTGTTAAAAATATACTTTTACCCCCTCCTTATCCTTTAATGAGAGTTTAAATAACTCTTAATCATGTTTAGCAAATTGTAGATTTAATCATGTAAATTTACTCAGTTGCATATCTGATCTGGTAACAAATAAGTTTATCCGCATTAAAAATCTTTCCACAAGAAAGTAAACTTTGTGGTGAAAAAATTAGCTTATGTAGTGTATCTAAAACATTTAAAAATTTATCCGCATATCTAATCCTATATTAACAATTTTAAAAATTTAAATGAACATAATTTATAATTACAGTTTAGCTAAACTATTGGGATCTTATTTTATACCTAAAACAATGTTTTTGGGAAATTAAATACTTACTTGAAAGATATTGACCTTGTCTTAAACATTATTCACAAACATCTGTTTTAGGTATTAATAATATTTCAACAGTTTAGCTGAACTGTAACTCAAAATAACGTTAGTTCATTCAAACTTTAAAAATATTTTTATTATATCTAAAATATATTAGTGGATACTTTTAAGAAAACTGTCGAAGCTAATAATCTTTTTTTCACGTGAAAAAAAAATCTCTAACATGAGATGTATATTCCACCAATATTTCTACAATCTCATGAATATTTTTGAACTTTTAAAAATAATAGAGATTTACAGTTTTGTGCTCGTATTTTTTGATTGTGTTCGCTATTAGTCTTATAAATTTACTCTCATATAGGTGTAGTTCTATATGTATAACTAATAAATATGTCTATTTAAGGACTGTTTCATCAGAAAGCACACATTCTGGCAAATAACATACAGAGTACTAGAAAAGACGTCGTCAAATTTTTCATCACAAAGTGTACTTTCTGGTGAAAAAATCTGCAATGCGGATAAATTTATGTGTTACTGTATCAAATTTACAAGTGAGTAAATTTATATGATTCAATCTATAATTTTGCTAAACATGATTATGAGTTATTAAACTCTCATTAAAGGATAGAGAGGGGGGTAAGGTTATATTTTTAATAGTGCAGGGGTCTAAATGATAATGTATGAAACCTCAAGGGAGGTGAGTGATAATTTCCCATTATAAATAATACAACTATGGATAAAATTTACAGTAACATAAATATAATCGAGTAAAACATACCGACGCCCCAGTGGATCGTCGCCTTGTCGATGATGTGGTCCAACACGACTATCAGAATGAGGTCCAGGATAACGAACAACTGTGAAAATGTAAAGGTTTGCATGTTTATTTGTGGCCCGTATTCTCCAAGTGCAATCATGTTCTTTCTTTCTCTTGCACTCTGCAACTCATATATGTTTATCTGACTCCAGGATACGATAAAACTGGTTGCGTTTAAAAGAATACAAGCTCACCATATTCATTAGTTGTTCTTTGTTGTCAAACTGTTGACCAATCGTAAACCCACCGTCTGGCGTGAACCTGTTCACACCTGTTCCACTCTTCCACGCACCAGCAAAGCCGAATGGGAGGTCATATACTCTAGTATAGTGGCTAGACGGGCAATTGCGGTCACAGTATCACCATCATCTTCATCAGATTCTGTCATGTCATCATCATTGATGTTATCATCAACATCATCATCTGTTCCCTGCCCATCCAAAAATGATGCACCATTGTGCAAGTACCTCCCTTCTTCCTCTACAACCATGTCCAGAACTACAACATTTGAGGAGGCCGCTGCATTGACATCATGCCTATATACAACATCATTTGATGTTGAGGGAGTTAGAGAAGCGTCACCTATGGATTCAGTAATGTATATCTCCAATGTGGACATACTCATCATCTGAAGTATCATCCACATTCTCGTGACAGCTTCCTCATCATCAAGTGGCATAAGCATTTATAATCCTCCGTGAAGGGGATATTTCATTTTCAATTGCAAAGAATAGTTCAGAGGAATCTGTGTAGTTACATATATTTTTTGCAGCATCTCAAGCAAACATGCACCACGAGAAACAATTACAAACTTACTGCTCCCACCTCCATAGCGTATTTGGCCTGCTTCCTCAAATATGTTCCTTCCCCAATGACACACGATTGGGAAGTTGGAAAAATCCATATTCTATTTACAATACATGTCCAAATTTCATGAGTACACATTAATATACACACTTTATACACCCAAATTCAACATTTCATAGACATAAAACATATTTATAATCTCTCATATTTAAGAAAATCTTATTACATATACCACACTTAACAAAATAAAAATAATTAGTTTTGTCACAAAAAAAAAATCTCACATTTAAATTCACATTACAGAACAAATGCACGACAAAATCAAAAAATTACATTAAATTCAAGATTGAAATTCAACATTACATACATATTCACATTTCACAACAAATCAATTTACAAATCAATTCCTAATTTACAAATTCGAAAATTATCACTTTAGATCTTAAGTTGAAAAATGAGATAAAATTAGGGATTTGATGTACCTAGAGGTTGAAGAAGATGATTGGGGAGTGTATTTGGTAGAAGGAAAGACCTCCTAGTAGTTGTAGTCGCCGGAGTGGGCTGCTGCAATCGTTCTTCGCCGGAGCTATTTTGTTGGTCTTGAATCGTTCGTTCTGTCTGATAAGGTGTGCGTAGCAGTTTTTTAAAAGGCAAAGTGGCCAAACCGGATGACGACTTATAAGTCGCCAAACCGTTCGGCGACTTTGCCTAACCCGAGTTAAACCAACAGTAGATACCTAAATATTTTTAACCCAACCCTATTTTCATAATTATTTAATTAATTAGCATTAATCCCGAAAAAACTCCAATTTAGTCTACACCAAATTAATGTAAATAGACTAAGAGTCCGTTTGGTAACACTGAAATCGGCTGAATCGGTTGATTCTGCTGAAATTTATGAAGTTTTGGCTGAAGTGACTGTATTGGTTGATTTTGCTGATTCATGAAAAAATTAAATTTAAAATATATTTATTAATAAAATAAAGAAAAAATTATATGTAAAAATAGCTAAAATGGTCCTCTAAAGTAACTTCAGCCGATACAGCCAGAAAAGTAACTCCAACCTTACTTTTTCTGCTTATAACAAAATTCAGCGCGTGAAATCAAAAGTAACGTATTTGGTGAAAAAGCTGACTGATAAGCCTAATAAGTCGAAAGAGGGGCTCTAAAACATCCCCTAAAATAATTTTGCATCCAATTCAACTTTGACCGTCATTGAACGTAAAATATTAGGAATAATTACATGGTGGCAATATGAAGTGAATGCTTCTAGATGGTCGCAATATATACTCCCTTCGTCCCTCAATACTTTGTCATGTTTGATCTTGATCTGCACGAGAAATAATAAAGTAAAAACTGTGTGGTTGAGATATGTGCAGAGGAGAGAGAAATGATTGAAACCATAAATTCATTTATTAAAAGAGAAAGTGACAAAGTTTTTGGAATATCAAAAAATGAAAAGATGACAAAGTTATAAGGGATTGAGGGACCGGAATATTAATCTTGACTCTCAATGGGGTTCAAAACTTCAAATCACACGGAGTATTAATTGTCGACTCCTTCAAATGGGAGTAGTTTGGACTTTGGAGTAGGGATGGACTCGGGCCGGGTGGCCCGACCCGGGACCGGCCCGGGACCGGTACTGTTCCGGCCCGGCCCGACCCAGGAAAATGCAATTTTTTTCTGAAAATGCCAAAAAAGTGCCATATTTCTCTTTTCGAATGCCAACATTTTCATTTTTTTCTGCCATAAATATGACATTCGTAATGAACTTGGCATTTTTTTCCCTTGGTTACTTGAGGTGGTGGTGCTGGGGCGGCAGAGGCGGCGGTGATTTTTTTTTGAGTTTTTAATTTTTTAAATTTTTTTTTAATTTTTTGAAAAAAAAAATTAATTAAATTTTTAATATCGAAATGTTTTTCTTATTTTTTTAGTATTTTTTACGAATTATTATTATTATTTTTTTTTTATTAGGAATTAAAACATTTTAATAGCTATAAGGGTATAATTATCCAAAGTACACATAATTAATCCTATACAAACATAGTTTATTTTTTGATCCTATTTGTGAAAAGTAAATGACATTTAGTCTTATTTTGATAATCTAACTCCGGTATGAATTGTCGACTCCTTCAAATGGGAGTAGTTTGGACTTTGGAGTAATAAAACGATGTGGCCAATCTCATGATGGCCAATTCAGATTCAAATAATCATGCTAAAAAACTCGTGATTAAACCATTTGCTGGGCATGTACACCACGTTGCACAGACAGGAAATGATGGATCCTAGATCCTCTGTTTTAATTTCGCCTATTATTACGCTTCTGCCCTTCTTGCGAAAAACAATTTACATTCTGATCTCAACCGACATAAATTTATTTTTGGATTATTAGTCAAATATATACCCAACTATAATCAAATTCATAAATCTATCTCGTACTTTCATTTTTATTTTTATTTTTTTAAAAACATACTTTAATTTTTATTAAAAAGATTCAAATTTCAACTTTTCTCACAATTACACTTTCAATTGATGAATTAATAAAAATTAAGAAGAAAACTATATTTATATTTCATATTTTTTAACTCTTTAGTTTTAAGTTTACAAAATTGTATTGCTTATATCTTAATGGTATTGATAAAAATGTGTAATTTTAAAAAAACAAACAAGAAAAACATAACAGTTGAAATATATGAAGTGTGAGTCTTTTTTTGATAAAAAAGAAAGTATAGGGTAAATTTGTAAATTTGATGATAGTTTGAGGTAAAATAAACTAATAATCCTTTATTTTATCCATAACAGTAACGCCAAAAATAAAATAAAATATTAAAATATTCCAGAAAAACAGGCTAGTCAAGTTACACCGGCAAATGAAAATCGGAGGTGTAATAATACAGAGCGACAGAGATTTCGCCGGCCGGCCGGTCTGCCGGCTGGAGATGGCAATGCATCTCATTCGAAGATCTCATAATCATCGGCGTTTCGAGACACGAGGTGCCATTTGCGAGCCTTCAATCTCTTCAAAACCCGGTCGAGCGTGACGTCAAACGCGTCTCTTACACTCCCCAGCCCTTCTTTCCTGCTGGCGTACACAATTTCCGGCATCAAATCTATGATCGTTTCCCTCATCTGCCTCACGTTGTCTCTGTGCACTCCTTCCAGCACCTCCCGGATCATCGTACCATTGCTGTTCCTGACGCCGAGGTTGTCGATGTAAACGGAGAACGTTTCCGACCGCCATGGCAGGTGCCACACGTACTGGTCCTTGAATGTCCCTTCCCAGAAGTACACCGGAATCGCGCCGGAGATCATGCAGTCGTACATTGACCGCCGCGTCATCCCGTCCCCCTTCGGCTGCAGGCAGAAGTCCGAGTGGAGGAACGAGTCGAACACCGCCGGCGACCCGTCCGAACACATCACGGCGGAGCAGTCCACAGCGCGGCATGCCTCCTCGTCGATGCAGTAGTCCATCAGCATCCCTCGGAAGTCGTTCTTGATTTTGTGACGCTTTGCTCCGACGAAGGTGAATAGGCTGTCGCGCTTCTGGGATCTGACGTGGCTCTGCCACTGCCGGATGTCGGCTTCCGATCGGGGGTGGAATCCAGTGGGATAGGGCACGCTCTCTTCTAGTCGGTCCTTGTCGTGCTTCTCCACCCCCAACCGGAAAACGTTCTTCATTCGGGGCATGTAGAGGAAACTCGTGCCCCAATCGCCGTCGTTGTCGGCCAATCGCCGGAAATCCCAGGTCAATCTCCCGAGAACTATGAAATGGTCAACACCTTTGTGCTTGATATAAGTGGGCTGCTCTTCAAGCCAATCTAGGAACATCTCACAGTACCGGTCCCGATCTTGGTAAGTGTAGTTGAACTCCGTGAACAAATACCTCCCGACGGCGATGCCGGCGTAAAAGGGTAAGAAGAATCCGGTGGCCTCATTTGGATCCATGGTTCTACACTTGTGATTCAGCATCCGTTCGTGGTAAATCAGCTCTACAGAGTACATATCCGTCCAATACCAAGCCGGGATGAGATTCTCGGGAACAACGCTCTCGAGTCCGGTACCCGGCGGTCCAAATCCGCCATTTGCGACCACCTTGCACCCGGTTCCCTTCCATGGATCCAGCTCCTTGCAGTTCTCCACGAGTTCGTAGTTGAACTTCCGAGGAATCTCGTAGACGTAGACCTTGCCGGAGCTGCAATCCTGGTGGTTAGCCAGGAGATGTTGGCCGCCGGCCGGGGACTTGGACGGGGAGGAGTGGATGAGGGAGAAGAGAATCCAGATTTGGAGAAGGATGGTGGCGAGAAGGAAGAGGCACTGGTTCAAAGGTAGCTGGGCTTTGACGGATTGTAAAGCATGTTTTAGCTGAAGTGGTCTGTGCCTCTGCTCGGTTGACTGTTTGTTGCCTGGAATTGACAAGTTCAGATGCATCTTAACTCTCTCCGGTGGAAATAGAGCTTCGGGACTGGTCGGAATAGTAACTGGTCTTTCGGAATTCAAACTAGGAAGTGAAGATTCAGGGGAGAAGGATAGCTGATGTCCGCGGCCATGAACCCAAGATTTCGAGGCTGTAGAGACTGTGTGTGGTTTCTGAACGAATTAGGAGTTGTGGCCTGTGTCGGTTAACACATTTTAATAACCAAAATAAATAAAATTAGGGTTATTTTAACTATTTCTCATAATTTCTATGATTTTTCTTTTTTATTATAAAATAAATTTTAAATGAATTATTTAATAAACAAAATATATAATTAAACCAATTCAACTATTTCAACATAAATTTCATCAATTTTAATGAATCATTCAACTGTTTCAGACAATAACAATTATCAAACGAGCTTTATATGTTATTCTCATTTTACATCTACTTATTTTAGTGAAATGTTTCAACATTTTACTAATTTACTAATTACCAAATATGTTTTCATTAGAATTTTGATATTTTCTAATCACTTTTGCATTCCGTGTAATGCTATATATTTGAGCAATTTTTCTAAAAAATGTTTTTTTGTGAAAAAGGTACGACACCTCATTCTTGAGGGTTCCTAACAATGACCCAAAAAATATTATTTTTATTAAAGAAAATGTTTTTATAAACCCACACAATGGTGTATTAAATTATTCAATGTACTATTCGTATTCTAGTATATCATACACCTATTATCATGAAATAATAAAGATATGTGTGAAATATGATAAAAAAAAGATATGCGTGGAATGGCATAATAATCAATGGAAAAGGTATATATAAAGTGTTACATTTATTAATATCGGCAAATTTAGTAAAATATTATCACAAGCCTATCTAACTATCTTATTCTGATTAATAAGATTACCATGTTTTAAATTCCCTAAATGTGACTAATCATGTGTGTTTGGATAAATATACTTGTGCTGCTTAAAAGAATAAAACAAATACTACAGGCCTTTGCGCCTCTGCCACCCCCAGCACTACCAGTACCGATCATCGTAAAAAATGTGAACATGCACTAATAATGTTATATTGATTACAGTTTATGTGAAAATTTTGGCGTTGTCAAGAGTAATAATGCCATTTTTTCACTTTTAGAAAAAAATGACATTTGTTTATACAAAATGACAATTTTTTACTAGTTGGAGGTGGTGATACTAGAAGGCCGTAGAGGTTGTGGGAATGACATCCATATTTTTTATATTTTTTATGTGTTTTCATTTGTTCTTATTTTTATTTTTTTTAATTTTTTAGAAAATATATTATTAATTTTTATTATTTTCCTACGATTTTTATATTTTTTAAGATTTTATTATGAATTAAAACATTATGAATTAATATTCTTAGAGGTATTTAGGATTGAAAATTAATGTTTAATCCTATATGTACTATTGAGTTTCCATTTAATCCTATTTAGGGCAATTACTATTTAAAAATCTTTGCCTAATCCGGGCAGTAGAAGCAAGTGACATGTGGATAGGTAATATATTGATCGAGCATTCCGGTCAAGAAAAAAAATTGCACTTGAGTCCTTCCCTGATAGACGGGAGTTAACAGAGCTTTCTTTTGCCGTTTCCAGAAATCCGTTCCTCTTCCGATCTACTATCCACCGCAACACCAGAGACGGCTACCTCTCTACCAAAACAAGAAGTCCGGTGCCTTCCAGGTCGCCTACTATCCACCGCAACTAGAAAGCGGCTTCTTCTCTCCATCGCAACCGACGAGACCTAATCGCGGAAGAGCTCGAGTAACTTCGCCGCTCCAATTGAGTTTAGCGGCAACGACGGATTCAGTCCAGGGAGGGAAGGAAACCTAGCTGCCGGAGCATAATTGCGGAAGAGGAATTTAGCCGCCCAATCAATTGAAATCTTCGTGCATTTGAAGGTTTCTCTTGAGCATATTCTAACAACTTCGGTATGTGTACTTGTTTATTCATCACATCTAATTTAGGGATTTCCTTGATTAACATGTACTAGAATTTTGTTACTAGCTCGTGTTCTAAGACCTTATTTGGCCAAATAAGCTTTTGATTTCTCTTTCAAATAAGCATTTTTATGCTTCTGATTTTACTTATTTTCCGATTTCACAGCACCATTTTCTTTTTCTTTTGTTTTTGCTTGATAGGATTGGTGTGAGTACACATAGAAGCATGTTTTTATATTGACAATTCCAGTAGTATAGAACAATTACTCGACGATATTTATTGCATTAATATTATTTAATTAATTTTGTAGCATGTATAGACATGTAAGTAGGCTAGAAGCTATACTAACACAGCAGTATGTGTCGTAGGTTATCTAAATTCGTCATAAAAATATTTTTGAGTGAGCATATAATAGTGAATAAATGAAAGTAGTTGAGATATATTTTATACAAAGTTTGATTTTTTGTTGTCGATGCCTAAAACGTATTGTGCTGGGATTCGAGATGCATCAATTTTCTTACATTCTTCCGGGTTTTTCTGTTTCCATTTTAGCTGAATTTTTGGTGGACTGTGTTTGCAAACTGCTCAAAATATTGCTACTTTTATTATCTATATGTTGTACTGATCCACTAATGCCAGGCTTGTTAATAAGTACTCCCTCCGATTCCTAAACAAGTTCCACATTTGACTTCACACATATTAAGAAAATAAAATTGACTTTACTGTGGAGTGCGCTGTTTGTCACTGTTTGAACACTGTTTGGCACTGTTTGACACTGTTTGACACTGTTTTGATATAGATAATAAGGAAATGTTTGAAAGTGGAACTTAATTTTGAATCTGCCCGAAAAGGAAAGATGGAACTTGTTTCAGAAACGGAGGGAGTAATAACCAGTCGTCATCATCATCTACTTGGCCATCTTCATTTAATTTCTTTCCAGTTAAGGGAGTTAAGGGAGCTGGCAGATCTAGGTTTTACATAGAAGAAAGTTTTGATATTGACAATTCCAGTAGTATAGAACAATACCAATAGAAGAAAAAACCCATTAAATCCAGAAGTGTATTTTACCAGATCTTTCGGTTCAAACTTGAAGTATGGGGTAGAGGTACCCCCATTTCACTTTAGTATACAAGTGTAAACTAAAAACCCAGCCTTTTTAAGATCGACATGAAAGCATTCAATATAGGTTCAAACTCTTAGCAACTCAAACATTAATGCAAAACAATACCTTGACATGGTGAGGCATTATTTTTATATCATAAGCATATTGGTGGATATGATAAGCAAAAGCCGACTCTTGACCGGAATCAGTTAGAAATTGTAACAGGTGTGACCCGTTAAAGCCCAAAGACAATTCGCAGCAACAATATAATAATCTGGGAAGCAAGTATTTTATTTACATATTAGTCTGAGAGTAGGGTTAGGTAAATTTGCAGGCAAGGACAGAATTAGAGATGGAGGTCTGAACAATTGAGAAGAGAATCAGAACAGAATCACCCCATGCCCTCCCCATTTACAACTCTTAGGATAATATATTTCATATACCGATATACGGGACCACTCAAAATCCTTTAGCAGGTTGTTCGTTAGTTTTGTCCGATTGCTACGCCTTTTCTCTTTCTCCCCTACCACCTATTTCTGAGCTAGGACCCCACCACTAAGGGGGTTTGCGTCTTGTAGTTGATACACACCCTCGGGAATATTACTTTTACATCATCTGTCAGGTTGTCAGCAGATGAGTGGCAAATTTCAAATTGACAGATGATGACTGAAATTTATAGCAGGGAGCTAGACTAGAGGGGCCACAATTTACAAATATTGATTATACACGATCGTTTTTAGTGGGGATTAAAAAGATATTTGTTCAAAAAGCTTCCACTAAAAAAGCTAATAGTAATGGAGTAGTATTTAAACTAGCTTTTGTCATGCCAAACGCATCCTAGGTCCTTATCTACTAATACAAGTGTTTATGTATCTCAAGTTCTCAACCATTGATCAAAATATTCATTTTCTGGGTATAGCAAGAAAGCCTGTTGGGTTTCATTCGTTTTTAAATTTGATTAATCCCCGAATATGGTACAATAAAACAATATATGAAGTGTTACTTTTATCATATGAATGTTTATTATTGCAGCGGGGATACTGATTCAGTGGTTCCTTTAACTGCAACCTGGTATTCAATTGATGCTTTGAATCTTTCAACTGTCACCAACTGGCATCCTTGGTATGACAATCAAAAGGTCAGTCAACCTGAGAAAAGTATAGCATCTTGTTTCATTCTGTGTTGCCAGAAACTGTCTTTATTCTGGAAGAAACAAAATGTGATTTGCTGTAGACTTGAATATGAATTTAATCCCTCAAAATATACTTCGTAGTACTCCGTATATTGGTATTGGACACCAACAATTTTTGTTTTGTTTTTGTCCTTCATCCATTTATTTTGTTAAGTTGGCGGTTGGCACCTATTCTCTAGCAATGTAACATGCCTAATATGATCATAGCTGCTGAACACGAGCCAATTTGTTATTGTTCATTCTTTTTTCTTTGCAGCTGCAATGAGGAATATTGATGATTTGTTAGAACTTGAAACTTAAAAGTGCTATTTTCTTTTAGTTTTTGTTGGAAGGAGCATTGGTGATTGATTTGAATCTTAAATTTGATTCTTGTTCTATGAATATAGACTATCACACTGTGTGTATTTACTTTTACCAGGATTTTTGTTTGGTGATTGTTGCATATTTATTAGAATTTTGTTTTTTACAAGGGTAGTACAAGTTTCAGTTCTATATTAGTTTTTTGTTTTCTTCAATGCTTTTATCTTGGCTATTGTAGTCTTGTAGGCCATTTATTTATCTAATTTTAAGGTTAAAAGTGGTAAACTTAAAAAACATTATGTGATAAAAAAGAACCAAAAATCCATGTATCATAAGCATACACCATAGAGTACCTTCTTCCTCTTTACTTTGCTTTCCAGCTCGCTCTTCTCCATCTTGACTGTTTTTTTTGTCATTTCATTCATTCCACAGGATATGTTGCTTCCATATCTAGAAGATCATGAAGACGGATGTAGCATTACTGAGATCGTTGACATTTTTAAATTTGATGATTCTACTTCCAATTATACCACTGATGTTCTTACTTTCTATGAGAAACTTGATGAGTTCAGTGGTTGGGGAATGGTGGGGAGTGAGTAGCTTGTAGTAGCTTTAGCTCGAGAATACATGAGTTA